GCAGAGGAGGAGCAGGTGGCGGGGCCCCAAGGGGCGAGGAAGGGTGGGGAGAGGAGGAGCAGAGGGCGGGGCCAGAGTTCCGACACTCCTGTGGGGGGCCCCCAAATTGGCCGAGGCCCCCTGGGGGGTAGTCTGACCCTGGTGAGAGTGCTGCCTGGGTGGGGGCAGGGGGAGTCACTGGAGGGAAGGGGGCAGGAGTGCTGGCTGGGGTACACTGGGGTGGGGGGGATGATGTTTATGGCTGTTTCCCTTTCGCTGTCAGGAGCTTACTGCGGAAGCCAGGCCAGCGTGACTCTGATGTGATGAAGCTTTGCCGGAGCGCCGAGCAGGCTCTCCACGCCCTGCCCTGCTCGTGGGCCTGTGTGGATGCCCAGTCCTGGTGCCAAGCTGAGGAGCTAGTGAAAGTGGTGCGGCGCTGCGTCTTCCAGGAGCAGAACAGGGTCGTGTGGGTTGAGGATGGCGAGCTGTGATCTCACACCCGGCAGAGCTGGGGCCGTGTCTTCATGGTGGGAGGCTCCATATGGGGGAGTGGGGCGCTAGTTTCCTTTCCCAAGGGCGGTGCCTGGAGCACACTTGGCTTCTTTCCTTCATCCCCAAACTATTTCCGAAACAGCATGCCACTTCTCCCTGATCGGCTGCAGTGGGATGTTTTTGCCATCAGCGGAGGTCTGGAGGAACAAGGAGGCCCCTCATGTGTCAGGGAGTTGGGCCCACTTCAGGCTGCTTGGAGACTGGCCAGGGTGGGGGTAACATGCGGACTCGGACTCCTTTTCCTTTATGTCCAGGTTTAGTGGAGGGATTTCCTTCCCCTTCCCACCAAGAATCCCCTCACAGCTTACAGCCGCCGCTCCTCCAAGAGTGCTCTTGGCACCCAGACCCTCTGTATGTCCCAGTCATTTGGGGAATCAGATGTGAGGGGAACAGAGGGTAGTCTGCGAAAGTGTGTGCGTGTGTGTGAGTGAGAGACTCTCTGCCTTCCTATTGCTCCATTCCCCTGCCACCCCATCTCCTCCCCTTCCCCATCATGGCTCTCTCTGGCACCCTGTCTACCTCAGCTGATGTCCGGATGGAAGCGGAGGTGGTACACATTCCCTGCCGCAGGCAGAGCGACACTACGCGGGGTTTGTCAGGCCTCCTCAATGGGTGGTAATTGTAATCTTTACAGTGTATAAATTATTAATGGACCCTTTTTAATTGGAAACCTGTATATAAAAGAGAATTAAATACCATTTATAATGGGAACGGAGGAGGGGCTGCTGCTTGCATTAACAGCAGGACTGGGGTGCTGGGGGATTTCTCTCCTATCCCTACCTCATGCCTCTCCTAACCTGCTCTCTCCCCTGCTCGGACTCAGACAGCTGGTCCCTCTCTGGGAAAGTCAGGGGAACATTGAGGTTGCCCGGGTCTCTCAGAACCTTTGTTCCTGTAGCTCTTGTTACCTCCGGGAGTCTGGGGCTTCTGCCATCTGGGTCCTTCTCCAGGGGAATAATAGGAGAGGGGCGAGCCAGCGGGGCTGCTGGAAGGTTGGGGATTGCCTCACCCTTCGAACAGAGGCTGTCCTCAACCCACCACTCTGACTCTGGAGCTGGCACCAGCTGTGCCTGAAATCCAGCCCCCCTCCCCCTTCCTGCCCCCTCCTCTCACATGCTGAGGGAAAAGGAGGAAGAGAGAAGCAGAGTGATGAAGAGACTGACATGAAGGGAAGGAAGGAGAGGAGTGGAGGGGGTCAGGAGGCAGTGTGTGTGCAGCACACTCCTGGGAGGGTGGCTGGTGTTAGAAGCACCCCTCGGGGAGTGATAGCTCTCTCAGGCATGTGGTTAGCTTGGAGAACCCTCCCTCCATCGGTGCCAGGGCTGCTTTGCAGAGCAATTGCTGACCGAGCTGCGGAGTCCTTTAGCACTTGGGAGCGGCTGGATGCTTGGGGAGCGCTGGGGGACCTGCAGAGGATGGGGGAAGGTAGACAGCGCTGGAACTGGTATGAGCAGGCAGACACAGGGCTGGAAAAAAGCGTGGGCCAGGTAGTGCTGGAGCCCCCCAGCACAGCCCCATGCTAGGGGTGATGGGGAGCAGCATGAAGGGAGGAGAGCCCTGGATGCAGGTCTGCATGAGACCAGGACTGGGCCAACAAGGGCTGGGAGGGGCAGAGATCAGCAGAGGCTGAATGCTTGTTGCTTTCGCAGGAGGTGGGTATTTGGCATTGTCTAGCCCAGCCTCTGCCTGGGCCCAAGTCCCCTTTGTGTCCCCATAACGATGCTTAGCCCTGAGCTAGTGCTTTGTGGTTTTCCAGCTCTGGGCAAAGATGAACTCACTGATCCTCACAGCTCCCCTGGGATGAGGTAATTTGTTCTTACATCAGTGCCTGCGTCTTTACCTACAGCCACGAAAACCCAGAGCAACCTCCTGGAGCAGCCCTACAGCAGTACAGAACGTAGCCCAGGCATTAGCCAGAGACTTCACCCTTGTCCAGACGTGTGCCCCCTCCACCCCCCTCAGAACCCTCACCCCACCCATCCCAGGGATGCCACTTCTGCCACCAGGGTGCCTCTTGCAAAGTGACCTCTGTTGGACAGTGTGGAAGCAAGGCCCAAGGGTGACCCATCCTGGAGACTGCCCTGCTAGCAACCCCCTCCCATTGAAACAAGGGAGACTGTTGCTCAAGTGCCGCCATTGAGTGCAATTGTGACAGAACCCAGACCGCTGAGGGCTTTAGAGGTCAAAAACGACACCTTCCACTGCACCCAGGTCCTAACAGGCAGCCAGTGCAGCTCCTGGAGCATTGGTGCCATGGGGCTGTCTGTGAACCACACAGTGTTTTCCCCCAGGAATTGAAATTAGAGAGGGTGTTCAAATTTACGGGGGGGGTGGGGTGAAAAATGACTAAATTGGCAACACTGCCTATAACTAGTTGACCGCTGGGGGGCAGATGGGGGAATTTGGGGGGTACGAGATGTAGGGAAATCCCTGACAGTGATTCAGGATCAGGCAGCTGCCTTCTGCCCCTGCTGCGGCTCCTGAACAGTCTCCAGGCAAGCCACCATGGAGCGTGCATGGCAGTAATCCCCAGGCTGGCTAACTAGAATGGTGCACCTCTGAATGCCGTGGCTGTGCCCCCACCAATCCGTCAAAGAGTGTGCTGCTGTTCAAAGGGTTCTACAAATACAGCCATCGGGGAGCCTCCTGCGAGAGCTGGGGAGACACTAGATCTTTGGAGATGTTCTTGTTTGGTGCAGAACATAAACGGTCATTGGGTCCACTGCTGTCACCTGAACATATGGCAGCAGATGTGGATGAGAGAGGACCCCATAGATGCAGGCGTTATCCCCATTTTAAAGATAGGGAAACGGAGGCAAGGATGACTTCTATAAGGTCACAAAGCAAGTCTGGCAGAGCTTGGAATAGCACACTGGAGATCCTGACCCCCACACCACACTGCTCTAACCACTAGACAGCACTGCCCCTCCCAGGCTCCTTCCAGGAGTCATTCCATTCCCTCCTGGTTTGTTTCAGGGGTCACATTGGCCTACGCTGATCCATTCCACAAGCCCAGCTCCAGCTGGTTCCAGATGTGATGGAGGGGAAGAGAGGAATCCAAGGTAAACATTAACCCAGTAATGTTCCCTGGCTTCGGTTCCACCCTGGACTGTATCACTGCTCCCTGGGGGGTGCCCGAATTCCCTGCCCCGGGGAGGTAACGCTGCCTGCTGTAGAGGAATGAGTCACGGGTTAAGGAACAGGTGGAATGCCATTAGCCGCCGTGGGCACCAATTACCAGCTGTAAAAGCCTTGTACAATCCCAATGTAAAGACTCCTTTAGAAAAACTCTTCTGCCTGTCCTCAGGGGAGGGGATCTGCTGGAGTGTGTGTCTGCGTGCACGTGCAGTCAGGGGCTGGGGGTGGACTTCAAGTCCTTCACTAGCTATAGCCTTCCCTAGGAGTAGTTTGCAAAACTTCCCTGCCATTGCTCAAGCTGGCTCAGTGCCACAGGGGTTAACAGCAGCAGCTGCAGTGTACATGGCCGACCACTGGCCTAAGCACTGTGTGGAGGCGATCTGCTCTGAGCAGGGTTAGATGGCATGGTGAGCAACATATCTAAGCTAAGGGCTAGATCCCCAGCTGCTGCTGAGATATGTGAAACAGGGGAGAGCGCAAATGGCTGTAAACCTTGGGGCTGCTCTAAGTTATGCCCAACTGCTTCATGGGCCCAAGGGGCAGTTCCAACAGCTGGGGATCGCTGGATGTAGGGATGTCTTATCCTTCCCCCTTGAAACAGGGCAAGGAGTGGCAGTGAGCCAGTTAAGCTGGCTTTCTAGCTACTTTGTGTCACTTTGCATAGGACCCTATAGAACCTGAGACTGGACCTGGAGCTGCCCTGGCAGCTGGGAAGAGGGGTTGGGAAAGCCCCTTGGTGGGGAATTCATCTCTGCATTGGTGCTGAGCCTGGCACAGAGACTGACCTGGGAGGCAATGTGCCTCCTGATTCTTCAGTGGCCAGGGGCTGTCCCAGCTCGCATGCTGTCTGCAATGGCTCCTATGGGCCATTCTAAGTTCCAAGGGGCCATTGGAACTGCTGGCCATGCCTCCTCCAGCCCTGCCAGCATATCGCCTTTTGCAGGGGTGTCACGCTGGCTCTGTGCCTGCTGGGGCCCCCAGTGTCACTGCGAAGTGGCTGCAGTGTGGGGTGAATTCCCCCTCAACCTCTGGACAGCCTGGTTCAGTTTTGAGAGGCTCCCCGAGAGTTGGGGGTGGGGGCAGAAGCATGTTCCCCTCAGGCTGATGACATGAGAGTCGGGCCCCTGGAAACTTCCTCCTTCAGGGAGGCTCCCAGTTTAGTCTAACTAAACTCAGGAGCTCTTTCCCCTGGCCTGACACAAGGAGCAGCCCACAGGGCAGCAGCTGTGAGCAGAGGGGACAGCTAGCCAGGATTCCCCACAGGCTGAAGGGCCCCGCCTACCCTCTGCCCAAGGGAGGGGTGGGCGGAGCCTGGTGCTTGTAGCTAGAGGGAGTCAGTGAGAGCTGAACAGACAGAGCCGGTGGAAGGCAGCTCGCTTGCTCGTTCCCCGGACCTGGCTATCCCCAACCTCTTGCCTGCATCAGCCTCTAGCCTGGGACCTGTCCTGATGCATCCTTTGATGCTGGGTCAGCCCCTTTGCCTCCAGCAAACTGGAAACCAGAGTCACTCACCTGGATATTCCCCCATCACGCCTCCTGGAAACCTGGGACCCTCAGCCCCTTGCATGGAATGGACTCTCCTCCTGGACCTTTGACCTTTCACCCTGACCAGGCACCTGCCCAGGACCCTCAGCCTCTCAGCTAAGAGCCTGGGGTCTGGGTTAGTTCAGCTCTGGCTGTGTAATTTGCTGGCCTGCAGGTGTCTGCCTGTCACCTGTCCTGCCAGCTGGAAAATCAGGTCTTCCTGGTCCCTGTGTCTCTTTCCTGGAGGCTTCCCCCATCCCAGGGCCTTTCAGCCTTGGTGTTTGGCTCTCTAAGAATTTCACTGCCACTCTCTGCTCCCCTCCCATTACTTTCCATGGCCATGTCCTAGTTGGGCCTCAGCCTGCCTGTCCTCCCCTTTTGGAGGCATGAGGCCAGCGTGGGGCTCACAGATCCTGGGGTGCAGAGGAAGAAGCTCCCTCGGCCTGCTGGGCTTCTCTCCGTGGCGTTGGAAGTTGGCAGTGATGCGTCGGCATCTCCTCCACTGTCTTTCTGGAGCTGCTCTGCTCCTTGTCACCATGGCTTTCCTCTCCATGAGGCACCATGGCACTCAAGAGGTGGTCCGCTACCAAGGGGTTGGTGATGGGACATCGGATATCCCGGAGCACCAGGCTAAAATATCCCCAGCGGATGTGCTAGGAGACAGTAACAGGAGACAGGAGCTGAAAGAGCCACCGGGCCCTTCCAAGGTGGGCTCTAGTGTGAGGAGAGGCCTGGAGCTTGGAGAGGTTTTCATTGCTGTGAAGACAACCAAGAGGTTCCACCAAACGAGGCTGGAGCTGCTGCTGGACACTTGGATATCCAAGGCAAAAGAGCAGGTGTGTATGGAGGTGGGGACAGAGGCCTCCTTGGTGGGCATGTTGGGGACAGGAGGAATCTAATGCCTGCAGGGAGGAATAAGGACTCATTATACTGAAGAAAGGGTCATGCTGAAGGTGGTTAAGAACAACTGTCCCATTCGGTGCGTCTCTGACATCATGTCTATTCCACTGTGCAGAGAGACAGGGACACCTCACCCTGGTTGGGTGGAGGGCTCTATTAACTGGGTCTGAACCAGCTTTAGGCTCAGGGGAAAGCGCTCTAGAGAAAGAAAGGGGTATATCCTGGTTGTTCGCACAGGGTTGGGCAGAAGAGTGATATTTGACAGGGGCCGTCAGCCTCTCACCTAAGTGTAGCCTCAGTGGGGCAGTTCACCCTCCTTTAAATCTAGCTACACTAGGGGTGCAAACTGTAATGCTGCACATAGGTGACAGCTGTCCTCCCTTCAGCTGCTGGGGTTAAAACATGCGTGGGGCATGGCAGGGTTGAGTGCACTGCTCTTTCACCCTCAGAGGCCTGATTCAAACTGCTGATCTTTGCTCACAAGTGGAATGAGTTTGTGCGGTTTCAGACTAGCTGCTCCCTCCCGTCTCACACCATTTGTACACCTCACAAAACCACATCTGGTTTAGGCAGTGTCTGCTCAGGAAGGACTGCCTGGGCCTGGAGTGGCCACGGGTGCCTGAGAACAAGATGCTGTGCCCTGGCTGAGGGGTGGGGAGAGCCCAGGGTTAGCCCAGCAGAGGGCACAGAGGTGCCATGTAGCTGAGTTTGAGTGAGTGGGGCCCAGGGCTGGAATAGCAGGAGGGGTGCAGTGGAGCTGCATGTGGGTGCAAGCATAGCGTCTGCACGCCCCATGTCTGTCCCAGTGCAGTCAGTCTCTCGCATGCTGGAGCGCCAAATCCATTCACATGCGCTCTGGTGACTGTTCCTCGGCCCCGCTCTGTGTGTGTGGCTCTTGTTTCTGTGTTCTGGTACTGGTGCCTGGACGGTTCTTCCCCCTTCACCCAGCGGAGTCTTGAGAGTTTCATATTCTGGTGGGAGAGCTGGTTTGGGGTGCATTAGGTCAGTGCACACTGGTGACCCACAATGGACTTAATAATGGCTGGGGGAAAATACCGTTTGCTACCTGGGATCTCCCTCCGTAATGGGGAAAGCCTGGGGAAAGCCCCCGTGGGGCTCGTTGTAGACTCCAGGCACTTGGGCTATGTTTAAACAGGTCAGTCGGTAGAGGCCATGGCATCACCACATTTTTCCACCGCTAAATCAGTGCCTAGCGGCTGCCCCATTGCTAATCTCATGATAATTGAAGGGGTGCTGGGAGGGTTCTCTGACTGCTGCTTCCCTGCTTTGGGGTCCCCTTTTCCCCTGTGGTGCTGAAAGTGCAGGTGCAGCCTAAGGCCCCTATCCTGCAAGTGGCTTTGCACAGAACCCCACAGAAGTCAGCGGGGGCTCACAGGTCTGCCCATGCACAGCTAGTTGCAGAATCGGGGCCTAAATGAGAAGGCTAGGTTATGGGGGTGCAGCAGAAAAGAGCACCTGAGACAGAACAGGGCATTCTGGGTAAGGGCAGTTTTCCCTTCCACAGGCTGAGCTGTAACTGTCTGGTGCTTTCCGCTACCTAGTCAGTTGCGGTTTGTCAGAGGAAGCCATGTCCTATTTTGAACCCACTTCCTCTATGTGCGTTAGCATCTGAAATATCATACTTCCCCTTCTAGACATGCTTCTCCAAGCCCTGAGTGCTCTACCTCCTACCCTCTAATGACTCTTAGTGGATACCATACTTCTTGGCATATACGTGCTATGAGGTGGGCTGAGCCCTGGCACATGGGCACTATGATTATAGCCAGCCTTGGTGTTTCTGAGTGCGCTTGCAAAACAATTTTCCTTACCCCAAACATAACTGACACCTGTCTATTCTGGCCACGCCAAGAATGAAGGGGAAGTGGGAGTGAGAAGATTCTCTGGAGCACCCCAAATTACCTGAACCTCTCTCTCTCTCTGTGTGAAAGCTATAAAAGTTGCAGATGATACCAAGCTGGGAGGGGTTGCAAGCACTTTGGAGGGCATGATTCAAATTCGACAGGTCCTGGACAAATTGAAGAATTGGTCTGAATTCAACAAGATGAAATTCAGTAATTCACTTAGGAAGGGAAAATCAAATGCACTATTACAAAATGGGTAATAGCTTGCTAGGTGGTAGTACTGCAGAAAAGGATGCGGGGGTTACAGTGGATCACAACTGACTATAAGTTAACAATATGATGCAGTTGCAAAAAAGGCTAATATCATTCTGGGGTGTATTAACAGAGGTGCTGTATGTAAGACTTAGGAGGTAATTGTCCTTCTCTACTTGGCACTGGTGAAGCCTCTGGGTGTCACACTATAGGAAAGATGTGGATGAAGTGGAGAGAGTCCAGAGGAGAGCAGCAAAAAAGTTAAAAGGTTTTGAAAACCTGACCTATGAGGAAAGGTTAAAAAAAACTTTAGAGAAAACTCGGGGGGGACCTGATAGTCTTCAAATATATTAAGGGCTGTTATAAAGCGGATGGTGATCAATTGTTCTCCATGTCCACTGAAGGTAGGACAAGACATAATAGGTTTAATCTGCAGCAAGGGAGATTTAGGTTAGATATTAGGAAAAACTTGCTAACTGTAAGGGTAGTTAGACTCTGGAACAGGCTTCCAAGGGTGATTGTGGAATCCCCATCACTGGAAGTTGTTAAGAACAGGCTGGACAAACACCTGTCAGAGACGCTTTAGGTCTACTTGGTCCTGCCTCCGCGCAAGGGGCTGGACTCGATGACCTCTCGAGGTCCCTTTCAACCCTACATTTCTGTGACTCTGTGATTCTATAAAATATGTGCCTGACCCCCCTGGGTCCTGCTGTAGAAGGGGAGCGCCACTGTTTGTGCTGAGGTCTGGTACAGTTGCCAACACAGAGGAAAGCTCTTCAAGTAGAGTTGGCTGGAAAAAAAGGGGGGCAGGGTGAAGGGGAGGAATTTTCAAAAAATGTTTTCAAAAAGAGCTGTTTGTTGACTTTTTTGTACTGAAAACCTTTAGTTTTTCCTCTTTTTCCCTCCCTTTGTCCCCCTCCCCCCTTTTACCATGCTAGTGAAAAAGGTGACGGTGGAGGGGAGAAGGGAGCGAAAGGAAAAACTGTAACACAAAAGCTTTCAGTTTTCATTAGAAACAAAACAGAAATGTTGCAAAATCAAACATGCTTTGCTTTTGAATTTTTCTACCCCCAGGAAAGTTTTGCACAATAAATACCAGCCTGTCCGATTTGCAAGGGGCAGGTGTCCCACTGCACCAGACCCCATCCTATGAAGGCTTTTGGGTGCACTCTGGGGAATTTGAGCCCCCAGCTAGCACTCCGCAGTATTCATTCATCCCCGTAACACCCACGCCGATGAGGGAGGCAAGTATCGTTAGCCTGATGGGGAAACGAAGGCAGAAAGGGCAGGGACATGGCTATCGGCATAGAGAGGGTTGGTATCAGAACTAGGACTAACCTGCAGGGGTAACTTGCTCTCAGTCTTGCAGTTACTCCACTAAACCAAGCTGCTGTTCATGCTAACTGAGCTTCCCCGTCTTGTGGTCTGGGGACATGCTGGCTGCTAAGCCGCAGAGCCTCCTCCTTACAGCAACTGTCTGTGTTATCAGTGCCACACTGGGTGGTGCTGGCGTTGAGCTGAGAATCTGCTTAGGATCCTCTCAAATGGACCAGCCTGGTTCCATGGGGCCCCAAAGATCAGATCTGGGTGGCTTTGCAGGAGTTGGGATAACCTGTGATCCTTATTATTAGTAACTGCAGAGCCTAGAGACCCCAGCCAAGATCAGGCCTCATTGCCCTAGGTGCTGCACACACACATTTCCTGTCCCAAAGAGCTTATAGCCTAAATAGACAACCCAGACAAAGGATGGGAGGGGAAACTGAGGCACAGAGCAGGGAAGTGATTTGCCCAAACTCATCCAGGAGGTCAGTGGCAGAGTTGGGAATAGAGCCCAGGTATCCTGAGTCCCAGCCCAGTGCCCCTGTTCACTGGACTTTGCTGCCTTTCTTGAGGGCTAATATGTGACAAGCTTTCACCCCTGGTGATGGGTTTGTGTTTTCAGGGCTGGCTCTGCCAGGAGAAGAGCTAAATTTAATCTTGTGAGGGTGGATGCTGATGGTGGCCCTGACATTTCCAGTTCCCCTGGATCCTGGCCTGTTCCCTCACTCCTGCCTGTCAGGTTATTCACCTGCTGCATGGTGTCTAAACTCTGGAGTGTGAGCTCTCTGGGGTGGGACTGTCCTTGTGTCTGTCTGTAAAGTGCCCAGCACGATGGGGCCTGGGTGGGAGTCCTGACGCACTACTGCAATGCTGCTAATGAACACACTGGCAGCATGGGCTGTGCAGGCCCAAAGCCTGGTCCTTATTCTCCAGCCGTGGGCATCTATGCTCCCGGGGGAGCTTGCCAGATGAGGCTGTCTGGCAGCAAGGGCTCCAGACTTTCCTTTGCACTTGGGTTCCAGTTGGAGTTTTCCTTCCCCCCCTTTGCTGCTCCTCCTCAGAACTGAAGGATAGACTCGCATCCAAGCCCCTCCGCCTTCCCGAGCCCACTCCACTGTAGGAAGAGTGGCAAAGGCCACTGCAAGCTCCACGCGTTAGACAGGGGCTCTGAGAGCGGGGGGCTGGGAATCCCACCCCCAGTCAGCCTCCCCGTTGTAGGCTGCCCTGTGTGGTTGAACTCCAGCTCTGTTGCGCCTGACTGTCTGCCAGACCAAGCCCCTTGGGCAGTCTGTAGGTGCTGGGATACCGTGGCGACCGGCGGGATGTCCGAACCTAGACAGACCCAGCAGTCGGCCAGAGGACCCAAAGGGAACCTTCTCCCTCCCTCGGCTGAGCTGGTAAAAGCGGCACCAAGTTGGCCCTGTCTGGAAGTGGCTGGGTGTCCCCTGCAGGGGCAGGGGTGGAGGGAGATGTGGTTTGAGGCTCCAGCAAACCCCTTCCAGACACCTTCAATGTGGATAACGGAGGCTGGCGTCTCCTGGAGAGACGGACCTTTGGGCTGGAGCAAATGCCCTCTGCCAGGTTTCTAACGGGGGCCCTCCCAGCTCTCTCCTGTCCCAGCCCTCCTGGGCAGCCCCGCTGAGGCAGACAGGGCAGGCCATCTCTCCAGTGACTCCACCAGGCGTGGCGGGGTGGGGAGGGAGCTGTCAGCTGGCACAACACTGGCTCTTCTGCTGCAGTCACCTTTCGGGCACAAGTGGAGGGCAAGGGCTGGGGAGCAGGACAGGGTCCCTGCTATCTAGAGACCTGAATGAATGGGCGTGAGGGGGGTGGGTTGCGTAGTGCGGGAAGAACTCTGACACCACTGGAGTGGCTTCTCCAGGTCCTGCTGGAAAGGCACAGCAGAGTTGGGGTGGGGATGGAGGGTGACCTCCCCACTTACCCTCTCCCCACAGATGTGCGGCCCCCATCTACCACTGCCTCGTCAAACAGTGCACCCTCATCTGTGCTGAACGTGTTCCTGGAGGCAGCTTTCCTAACGCCCTTGGGGGGATCCCCCTCCCCTGCCCCGGATTCTCGCCCCTCCGGCACTCTCGGCACCTGCGCCCTCTTGCTTCAGAGCCTGTCGCTCCGGTGGATCGGCCGGTGCCAGCTGCCCTTCAGCACAACCTCTTCACATCCCTTCCCCCAGGCTTGCCCATTCCAGTGTTCATAACCTGGCTTCCCCCCTTTGGCGTTCTGGCCCCTTCGCCCTCCTGCGCCTTGCCCAATAGCCGGGATGCGGCACCCGGGCTGATAGCTAGGGTATGGGGTGTGGGTTCCCTTGGCCCAGTGCCAGAGCCATTTTCTCAGGTGCCCATCTGAATGCCCTTTTACTCTCCCCCTCCTCCCGCCAGCACCCAGCCCAGGCGCTGTGTTTAACCAGCCTGCGGACAGCTGGTGGGGAGATTGTTTAAGACTTGTGTCTCTTTCTTTCAGCCCCTTTAGTTCCTTGAAAGCACATTTTCCGCATGAGGGGAGCTTTTCTCAGCTTGCCGTGATCCCCCTCTGCCTCTGGGGTGGGGGGATGTGTCATAGAATGGCGGCTGGTGGGGCAGGGAGGTGGATGGACCCGAGTGGGGGGGGGGGGCGGTCTGGGAAGCAGCAAGGGGCTGTAACTGCAATACACACAAACAGATGTTCCCCTCTTAACCCATGTCTCCTTTGACCACAAAGCTGCTGCTTTTGTCTGCTGCTTGACATCGTTCAAATCCCAAAGCTGGGCCCCCCCACCCCCGGCTTGCTGCCCGAGTTCTCCGTTCACCAGGTGGCAGGGCCATGTGGGGTGAGGGGTGGGAGTTTGCTCAAGAACAGGTCCCCAGACTCTACAGGTAACAAGGGTGCATATTGTAATGAAGCCCTCAGAACAGGCTTCTCTGCTGCACTGGCCAGCTACTTGGAGTCTCCCTGAAGAAAACAAGACTCCACGGGCCAGATCTTTGGCTGGTGTCAATCAGCATAGCCCTATTGACTTCACTGGAACTACTGGGAGTCTGACCCCAGGACTCCTGGGTTCCCTGGCTGTCAGGGAACCTTCCCAGTGTGAACACAAGAGGGGGTCTCAGCTCTGTGGGGGAGCTAACCTCCAGGGTTTCCAGCTCCTCTTTCAGAGGACAGCCTGGGATTTGAGCCCCTTTCCTTCACTCCCCTGAACCAAGGGGAAATCTCTCTCTGGCCTGCAGCTAGTGTCGACTGGAGAAGGAGGAGGCTGTAGGATCTGTGCCTGCCTTTTGCGAGCAGGACACAGGGCTCTAAGAGGATTATTTATCCACCCACCACCCCTGCAAGAGAAGCAGGAGAGGTGGGTGAGCAATGAGCTGGGGCAGCGGCTCCCACCTCCCTTGGCCTAGCGAGAGGCAGCTGCAGGATGTCAAAGGCACAGGCCGGAATGGGGAGGCAGGAGGCCTAGTGACAGCTTGGGAGGCCAGAAATCTAGCCAGCGCCGGGCCTTGGAGTAACTTCGCCCTCTCCTCTCTCTCCTGTTTTCTCAGACCTATGTCTTTACTGACGAAGAAGACGAAACCCTGCAGAAGAGAATGGGTAATCCAGTCTTTCCTATCATGCAGCTCCCCAGCTCCAGTGAGCTTTGGATCAGGCCCTGAGTGAGGCTGGTTCTCCTCCTCCTACACACAATAGGGTGCCCTTCTGGATCTGTGTGATAGGATGAACCCCGCAGAGCCCCCAGCAGGAGTGACACTGATTCACTCTGGGGATAAGGCTCAGCTAAGCTTAGTTCTCTTCTGAAAAGTCAGAGGGATGGGCTTGCCTTTTGAAAGGAGGGAGACAGGAGACTGGCACAGCACGTGCCGGGAGAAGCTGCAGAGATTCCAGCTGTCCTGAAGAACAGCTGTGAGGTAACACGGGGGTCGGGCACCCCTGTCTTCTGTCCCAGAGACTGGTGGATAGGAGGATCCTGTTGTTAAAGCCCTTGGTCTGGGACTTGGAAGAGCTCAGTTCAATTCCTGCTTTTGCAACAGGCTTCCTGTGTCAAGCCACTTCCCCTTTGGCTGCTCCAGTTCCCCATCTGCAGGATGGGGAGGATGGTACTTCCTTGCATCACAGTGCTGTTGTCGGAGAGTTTACAGCCAGAAGGGAATGCCACATGTCTAGCCTGACTTCCTGAGAAGGTCATTAATGCTTGTGAGGCGCCCACATGCCACGGTGGTACAAGCTCCGCGACAGATCATTTGCGTGGCGCAGACTAAGTGCCACCATCAGTGAGGAGTGAACTCATTCCTGCCGGTGTCTTGCTTGTGTGGGGAGAAGTCCGGGATTGAAAACCCACAGAGACAAGTTTTCCCCTTTCAGCCCAGCAGAAGGGATGGGGTCTCCTCCAGGGCAAGGCTGGTGTTCCATTAGGTGAGCAGCATGTACGCTGTGAAGCAAAGAGCTGCATGAATAGGAAGAAGTTAGAATCCAGAGAGCAGGGTGAGGTGGGAACAGGCAGGAGAGATGTGGGGACCCCATTGGCGAGCAGGGTGTGAATGTGAGAAGGCCAGGACTGAATTAACACAGTGATTGATTCCTGCTCTCGCTGGCCGGAGGGGTTTCCTGGCCAGGCCAGGCCAGGCGGGTGGAGTGGGGTGAGAATGCAGTGATCAGGAGCTTTGTTCTTTTCCCTGCAGGTGACCATGTGGTATTCACAAACTGCTCTGCAGAGCATAGCCACCCAGCCCTCTCCTGCAAGATGGCAGCCGAGTTTGATGCATTCTTGGCCAGCGGCCTCAGGTGAGCACACAGGGGTGGCCTTCACACCTGCTCACAGGGGCCTGGGAGGGAACTTCCCACTGCAGGCTGGTAGGGATGGGAAGCTGTCACTGCTAACCGATGGCTGCTTGTGTGACTAAGAGGGGGCTGTGAATGGAGTTCCAGTGGGAAAGGATGAAGAAGGGTCTAGTTTGCAGAGGTGCTGATTAAAGGCCATCAGCGTGTAGCTGCACATGACCTTTATCAATAAGGCCCATGACGTGAAGCTGGGTCAGCAGCAGCCTCCTGACCTAACCTCCTCTTGTCTGTCTCACTGTCTGTTGCCAGCTGGTTTTGCCACTTGGATGATGATAACTACCTAAACCCACAGGCCCTCTTGAAGCTCTTGTCTTCCTTCTCTCCAGCCCGGGACATTTATATTGGGAAGCCCAGCTTGAATCGGCCCATCCAAGCCTCCGAAACAATGCCCAACAATCAGACGGTAAATCCTGCCCCGCAGCAACGGGGCCAAGCAGCTGACTGGCTCATTGGGGATTCTGAAGGGAGCTGATGGTTCTTGAACACATGTCTTGTCAAACCCCTAAAAGAGGAGGGCTCCAGGCCTGGCCTCCGCTGGACCCAATCTGGTCCCATGCAACCTGTGACCAAAGTCCCAGGGAGGCTATGTTGAGATTTCTCAATTAGGGCAAACTATAAAGAATAGAGCAGACAATTCCCCAAACTGGTGGTTATTCTAATACTTAGCTCACTACAAAACAGCTTCTATAATACCTTATTGGTTACCCAGAAGCCAAGAACACATTTCCCTTAAAGCAACCCAGCCTTTGGCTCCCACTCAGACAGCTAAGTCAAATATGATGAGGATTATTGAAAATCTTGTTCATCATATGAAAAAGTTCTACCAATCCCAAAGGATCGGACACATTGCCCACCAAGTTAATGAATATTTTAGATTTTACCTAAATACATGCTTTCAGCCAATTCTTATTAACTAAACTAAAATGTATTAAAAAAAGAAAAGAGAGAGTATTGGTTAAAAGATCATTATACATACAGACATGAATAGAGTCCTTAGGTCAGGTTCATAGTAGGGACGGTGAGCTCTAGAATTGCAAAGAGTTCTTTCAGAATTAGTCCATAGGTTCAATCCAATGTTCAGTATCAGGGTGACCCAGAATGGAACTGGAGATCTCAATCTTGTGGCTCAAATTTCCTCTGATGCAGCATAAGCAGATCTGAGATAAAAAGGATCAGATCCCAAGAGCCCTTTATACAGTTTCTGGGCAGCCTTTTGACTGCATGCAGTTCTTGGGTGAACAATAGTGTCTTTGAAGTAACCTCCTATTTCCTAAACATCTCTGGTAATTAGCTATATGGATTAACATAAGGCAATTGCCTATCTCCCACCATTTTCAGGTGATTTGATATATTCCCCAAAGAGAAATCAAGACAGTGATATCACTCCAGTCACAGCTCATTTAACTGTTAATATCTCCTTTTGATCTCTGAGGTGATAGGCAGGAACTGTTTGGTTACATTGTTCACCTCTAGCAATATCTGTGTAAACACACAAAACCAGAAACATTATCTACTAATATGTCTCTACAGGTTAAATCTGGGTCAATTAACTTGCAAGTTGCTTAACCCTTTCTGGTCCTGTGTCACACACAACAGCATGTGCGGGCTCAATCTGAGCAATGCACAGCCCAGAGAGAGGCAGTCACACACATGCTGCTCCTCAATGGGAACCCCATCTACTAAGAGATTCATCCCATACTGCACTACGAATAGGACGCCTTTGCTTCAGAGGGACCACCCCTTCTCTGAGTGAGGGGAGAATTCCACCTCTATGTTCAGCTAATCTGCCCTCATCTCTGGACTCCTTATCTCTCATATGAGGGCCCCCCTTTGCTACTGGGCTGAGGGAAGAATTCTGGTTCTATGGTAGTAGCACAGTTGTCCTGCATTTTCGACCAGCTGATGCCGTGAAGCCAGGCTCTGCTCTGTGCCACCCCATGTTGTGGTGCAGAAGGTGGGCTGTAGCTGGGTCTGTGTGTGTATCTAATGGCCAGCGCTTTGGTGTTGAGACCTGCAGGTACAGGAGCTGTGGTACCCATTGGTCAGCCCCGTGCCTTTCTCTGCTCTTCCCTCCCCAGAGGTCCGTGCGCTTCTGGTTCGCTACTGGAGGGGCGGGATTCTGCATCAGCCACAGGCTGGCCGTCAAGATGGCACCTTGGGCCAGGTGAGCCGTGAAGCCAGTAGATCTGTGAGCATCAGAAACCCAGAAGAATGTCACGGAAGATCATGCACGAGTTGGGGTGTGTGTGTGTGTGGGAATGTATGTGAGCACACAGAGAGTACGCGAGAGAGGGCACAGTGTGGGTGTGCCTACCCAACTGTGAGTGTGCAAGAGCAGGTAGGTAAGGGAATGTATTTGTGTTGTGGTAGCTCCTAGAGGCCTAACCCGTGCTGGGCACTGCATGCACTTCGAGCTGAGTTGGCATGTAAGTGGGTATCTCTTTATAAGTTCTTGCAGTGCAAACAGACAGAATTGGGCAGCGACCTGCCTCTTCATGGCCAGGGCGACGTGAATCTCTGAGGTCAGTGGAGTTACCCCAGCGATGATTCTGGCTCCTGATCTCTCATCCCGCTCCAAGACGGGGATCCCATTCAATGTCTGTATTTCCCCACTGATCAATGCAGCCCATTCTCTTCCAGCGGCAGTAACTTCCTGAGCACCTCGGAGCTCATCCGCCTCCCAGACGACTGCACCGTGGGCTACATTGTTGAGTGCAAACTGGGCGGGCGTCTGCTCCCCAACACGCTCTTCCACTCTCACCTGGAGAACCTGCAGCTGATCCCCAGGCCCCAGCTCCTGCAGCAGGTGAGTGGAGAAGGAGAGGTTGGAGAAGAGATTTGGAGGGGGCGGCGGGAAAGGAGCGGAGCAGGCGGGCGATGACTCACGTCACTCCGGCGGTAATTGTGACCCTGATTGAATCAACCGCACATTATTTCGATGAGGTTTTCCTGACAAATGCATCCCTAGACGCTTCTCTGCAATGATGGGCAAAGGATGAAAAGGCAATTAACTAGCCAGTAAAACTGCTGCCAGTCAAAGAGCAGGGGGAGGGCCCTCCCCTCTGGAGCTGCAGCACTGGCAGAGGAAGTGACTGTTGCCCACGCTTGGGGCCCATGTGATATAGCCCTGCATGTCATGGAGGAAGGGGGAGAGGCTTAGGAGAGATGGGGGCTGGAGATGTGTTGGAAATGGAGGTGAGGAGGGGGTGAAAGCCTGCAGCCTGGCCCTGTAAATCAGCCTGGGCAGAGGGGAGAAGCAGTGGGGATCTGGGTGTGGGATGCAAAGCTTGTAGAGTGGATCCCGGCTGGGGGATGATGGGAACGTCTATATCGCAGACACATAAAAGCTGAGAGCCTCCAAAGCTGCCCTCTTGTTCCCTAACTTCCCCCTTTCCTTTCTCATGGTCTTTCCCTGCAGGTCACCCTCAGCTATGGTGTCTTCGAGAAGAAACTCAACACTGTTGAGCTGGCCGGCCCCTTCTCCCAGCACGATGACCCCTCCAGGTGGGTGCCTGAGTCTCTGGCTCATTTGGCTTGCTCCCAGAGTCTCCTATGAAAATAGGGTTGGAACAGGGCGGGGGCAGGCTGCTGCTCAGGAGTGAGGTGCGTGCGTTGGCAGAGCTGTGTAGCTGGAGCTGGAATCCTGCCTTCCCTGTTGTTGTTGTTTGTGGCATTCGCTTTGGCCCTGGTGGGAGCTGGGCCCATCTTGCCGCTGGTTGGATCTGGATCCAGGGCTCACCTCTAACCGCCCTCACGTCCTTGTGAAGTTTTGGAGTCTGGAGGCGTACATGTAGATCACTAGCTGCAGTGCAGAGCGAGAGCATCTGGTGTGGGATGGGGCACCAGGGAGACACGCTCCTCCCATGCCTCTTCATTCGGCTGTGACAGCGCACGCCTAACCTTCGTCCTCTCTCCCGCAGGTTCCAATCCCTTCACTGCCTTCTCTACCCGGACACTGCCTGGTGCCCACGGCCCGTCTGAGCTCCCCCACCCAAAGGGTCCCACTCAGGCCAGCGACCCGCAGTTCGTGTTGTGTGTGTGTGTGTGTGGGGGGGCACTCAGGGAGCCCTGGGCGCTCCCTCTCCTTTGCAGTGACCGCCCTGCTGCAGCTAGCGATAGCTTTGTGGGTCAGTGCTCACTGCGCACGGCACAGGGTGAGCGGGTAGGATCCACAGCAAGGCGCCCAGGTGAAAATGTGGAAGGACACTGTTGGTGGAACACTCAAATGCAACCCAGTTTCCCACGGGCTCTGGGACCCTTGTGGGGGGTGAGGATGGGTGGGAGGGGGAAGTCGACGTGCCTCTGGTTATGTAGGCAGTGTAGCTGTAGCCCTGTCGGTCCCAGGATATTCGAGAGACAAGGTGGGTGAGATAACCTGATGCCTCCATGAACACAGCGAGACTTTGGCCACAGATACTGGCTGTGCAGAAATATAGATGGAGACCTGGTGCCCCCTGCTGCCTGGATGGAGCATATCTCTGTGTGCATCCTGAGCCACACGGACTGCGTGGGGCCGCGTGTGAATGGAGTGTCCAGCCGGCCTTCACTTCAGTCTCTGCTGGGCAGATTCTCTCCTCCCTTTATGCCCCCAAATCCTTTCTCCCTGACAAGTTTTCTACGCTGGACAAGAGCCTTTTCTGTCCTCTCATTTGTTGAGCCTCTGCTGGCCAGGACTCCGCCTCCCCAGTCCCCTTGCTAAGCCTCTGCTTAGATAGTTTGGCTACATTCTCAAGTCAGAAACTCAAGTCTTTGATAATCCGTTTCAATAAAATGACATTGTGGTCATGTCTTCGTGCTAGATCAGCCCATGAGAAGCGCTGTACCGGGACTGCCCTGGGAAGGGGATGGGGGCCAGGAGCCGGAGCACTGGGTCCTTCCAGGAGTCTCCCATGAGATGGGCGGGTAGAGGAGTGTGTGGATTTGTGCATTATTCAAGTGGGGATATCTCTCTGTCTCTCCCTGAGCACTCTCCCTTTTCTCTGCTCCACTGGGGATTGGGATAATCCCTCTTTCTAATGACCAGCCTGTTCTTTGACATTAGACTCCAGCCTCTACCTGGCAGGAGGGGATGTGAGAGGATAGTCTTAAAGAAGGATTTGGAGTGGGAGAAAGGGAGAATGAGGTAGAAGATGGGAGGAGGAGATAGTGAAGGAGTGCACAGGAGCAGATTGGAGATTGTGGATTTAAGAGCCATGCCAAAAAACCCTAATTCACTATGGAGTGAAAATGGAAGGGCAAATAGCTTATTACCCCTGCTCTTCAGTCCCTCAGACACTAGGGGGCACCTTCATCTGCTCCTCATTCCTTGCTCAGTGCAGCAGAGAGGGGAAGAAGGAATGAGAGGGAGAGGTGGGACATGCAGCGTTGCGGACTGTTCAAAGTGTTTCCAGATCCTGGGGGGAATGTCTCTTGCCCTGGACTGGGCTTGTTGTGTTACCCAAAGGTCCCTCGTAGTTGATGGAAAATGAATAGCAGTTATGTTTTGTCCTTGCTCAGACAGAGAGAGTAGACTGGGGGAAAGCTAAAAAGCAAAGAAACCACTTTCAATGGCAATGGATGCTCTGAATAAAAGAAATGTAAAGTAATTGCCTCTTCAAGGGAAGGTGTTTTTCAAAAGCCAGTGGTGTACAAGGGGGATCTCTGGCGTCCTGTGAGAATGCAGATGAAAATGCGGGTGTGGTCTCTCTACAGAGTCATCCAGATTGGAAGAGAAATCTTTAACACGGGATAATACAACTGCATCTATTGCAGTCAGTGTGGTAGAGGTCTATGGAGAGCACCACTGTGTCTTTACCATTTTGCAAACTGGTCAGCTCAACCCCCTGCAAAGGAACTACAATTGTCCCGGCTTGCACTGCAGACACTTGTGTAGGATATTGAAGGGTTAAAAATCACATGTTTCAAAGGTGTTTCCACCTGGGCAGAGACGGTTCAAGAATTGAAAGCATGCTTTGATTTTTGTAGAAGAACACCGTGGCCTCTTGTCACTTTCCAATACAAACATTTCTTCCAGTCAGTGATCAACTTCTGAAGAAGCAGATGACTCTCAAGTCCTGCTTTCTGTCACAAGAAATGCACCCTTTCATCTGGAAACTCCTCTCTGATGACCAGGAATAAGGACTTGCTGATAACAATTACCTCTCCCTGGGTGTATAATGGTTTCCTCGCACAGTGACGGGGAGCCCAGTAACCATATGAATCGAAGCCAATGAAAGTGAAGTCACCCACACTGCAGGAGTAAGTGTGTGACAATCCAATGAGATTAAGGATGAGTTTGAAGTCCCCGAGGTAAGAGAAGTGATTTGGGGTTTCAAGTTAACCAGAACAGGGAAAAGCTTCTGGCTGGCCTAATTCAGCCTAGCGCCTAAGAGAGGAGTCTACAGTGCCTGGATTCCCTCCCGCCCACATCTGAGATCTCAGTGCTTCGATTAAAAAAGCCAATCATATCTGAAGAAGTGACAGCAGGTGCAGAGGCAGTCACAGCACAACACAGTGGGTGATGAGGGGGCGGGGGCGACTAAACAACACACTCTGAGCCTTGTGGGAAGACAAGCTGCAGAAATAGGAGGAAAATGCTGGCTCAGGGCCTCATCTGGTGTAAACGGGCACAGCTCCATTTACCCCAGCTGAGAATCGGGCCCTGAAAGGGTCGAGTCCTTCAGCAGGTGTGTGAGTCCAAACCTTCTTAAACTGGTGGAACATTTCCTCGCCGTACCAGCAAGCACCGCTCCTGTGGAGAACATCTGCTCTCATGAAGAGCCTGTAAACTAATGAGAAGAGCAGGATGTGGAGGAAAGTAGGGTTGTGTTAAAGTGAACTACAAAAGGGCCTGTGGTAACTGTTCCGGTACTATACTAGAAAGAAAAGGGCTCCTCAAAGCAGACACAGGGATCCAAGAGCATTTCTTTAAGCACATAAAAGCCAGCTTAAGGGGACACTGGCAACTTGAAATCTGATCGGTGTTAAAACCTTGTCTTAAAATCAGGTTTGAGAACTATCCCTATCCCTGTGACGGGGTTTTATAATCCCGTTTTATTGGGAACACTCTAATGTGAAAGTTTTTGTGGAATTTTTTTCACTGTTCTCCATGGCAACATTTTGAGGCTTGAGCTGTTTTGACCAGCTCTATTAGATGTTTGTCTCTCATGGGCTGCTGTGAGACACTCCCCCAAAGAGGTGAACCTGACTAAGGCCCCAGGCCTGCAACTGACGGAGCAGAACCCCATGGACTGGAGTGGGGGCTCCCTGTGTCACGGTTCACATGATCAGGGCCTAACTGACTATCCACAAAGGGTTTAAATCCTGGTTCTACTGGTATCGATGGGAGTTTTGCCTCTGACTTCACAGGCGCCAAGATTTCACTCCAAGAGGGGAAATGGTGACACTAACTATGCACAGAAACAAGATGGGAAAACTAGTGACAACTATTTGTGCCCCCTCTGTTCTTTCAGGTACTATCATCTGGGGTGTCACTTGTGACAACAGCAGGTAAAATAAACTCAGAGGGGTCTGTGGTGGCTAAACTGATGTGGCCCCTTAACTGCTGTCCTTTGACAACTTGAATTTTCTACCTGGTGCAATTTGATCTAGCTTGAATTCCAAGAAAGCTAAAAACTCATTCATTCCACTGTTTACAATGTGTGCGATTAATTATGGACCCCAAGATGGGGTGATTTGCCTATCTCTGATGTTTAAATTGCTTCCCAAGATTGAGTGAGCCCAAGTTAGTTATTCAGACATCTCGTCTGAATGCACCTCATTACAGCACCCATTGCTTTCTGTTCCCGGAGCCAGAACTTGTTATCAGTGAGCTTTGAGAAAAATTAAATGGGACGCTCTGTGCTTGGATTCTCCTAATCTGGCCTGTCTCCTGCTGGAAATGTTAGCAACCCTGCTGCAAACGGGACTGATCAGGGGCCTGTGGGGTGGGGAGAGACTTCTGTGACCCCCATGTAATCACAACCAGAGCTGGCAGGGACAAGAGGATCTTCTGCTGAAGGCCCCTGGGGCAGTGTCCTTTGGGGGTATGCAAAGGAGTAAGGGTGAGATTGAGAAAGGGTCTGGGAGTGAAAGCCAGCGTGGGGAAATTGGATAGTGCTGGGAAGGGCAGCAGGAGCAACCTTCTCCCTCCCCTGCCCAAAGTCAGCTTCATTTGTGGGGCAGGCCAGTAAGATGGGGTGATAAAGAAATAGGGGCAAGGGGTTGCTGGCATAGGAGGGAAAGGGAGGGGAAGAGGAGACAGCCAGAATGGGGGACCGAGATAAGGCCAGATCCTCTGCTTGGGAAAATCAGTGTCGCCTCATTGACTTTAGTAGCTGCTGATTGATGCCAGCTGAGGATGTGTCCCATTGGGAAGGGGTGAGGACACGTGACTGAGTGTGGGGAGGAGAGGCAGCCTGTGAAGGAAAAGGGAGAGAGAAAAGGGAGAGAGGCTGGTCCCCGCCGTAGACAGTCAGGCCAATCCTGCAGTTAAGAACAGTCTCCATCGCTCACTCGGGTCGGGCGGTGCTTCAGTGACGAGGTGCTTCTCTTGCTCTGGGGAGCCGTTCCCTGTGCCACCGCTGTCATTATTTATACTCATTCTCTGCAACGGCTGTGCGGCTCGCGGCTGGGGCGGGACAGCTGTGATCTGCAAAGCACGCACGCCTCTCGCTTTGTTAGCACCCGCTGGTGCAGGCTGGAGAGTCGCAACAGCCTTGCTCCAGGGCAGATCACCACAGCTCCGATGCCAGTCCAGCCCTGCTGCAGCTAGAAGGGTAACGCTGAAACCCGGGAGCTGCCTCTCCTTCCCCTGGCCACTGGTGGGAGGGAGCGGGGGAGACTTTTGCTGTTGGAGATCTGCTTCTCCCGTGGGAGACAGCTTGCTGGTCATTAGAGCTGGTGTCAAGCATTGAAAGGCTCCCTGGCCCATAGTTCCCAATCCTCTTAGGCCCAGATATACAAAGGTATTTAGGCACCTAACTCCAATTGATTTTAATGGTGGGTAGGTGCCTAAATCCCTTTCCTCATGTTTATTCCCCCCCCCCACACACACACACTGTTCCTCACACATTCATGTCAACTGCTGGAAATGGCCCACCTTGATTATCACTACAAAAGGTTTTTTTTCTCTCCTGCTGGTAATAGCTCACCTTACCTGATCACTCTCCTTACAGTGTGTATAGTAACACCCATTGTTTCATGTTCTCTGTGTATATAAAATCCCCCTACTGTATTTTCCACTGCATGCATCTGATGAAGTGAGCTGTAGCTCACGAAAGCTTATGCTCAAATACATTTGTTAGTCTCTAAGGTGCCACAAGTCCTCCAAAATCCCTTTGAGGATCCAGGCCAGTGTAATTAGCTGAGTTGGAATTTGATGGGGAGAACGAGGCGAACGCTCTTACAAAAAGTGCGCCGGGCTCTTTAATGGCCAACAGAGCGGAGAGGACCTTATGTCTCAGCCAAAAGACAGGACTTCCCCCATCCCAGTGGGTCATAATTCCATGCTGGACTGGGCTCACCAAAGAGAGCATCCTCATAGCCACCCACACCACGTTTGCACCGTACCTGCCCGGTCCTTGGAGGTCAAGCAGTGATTGGGCTCAGAAGAGCCGATGTGCTCCCAGTGCTAGGCGCGCTGGCTGTTCCATTTGCAATTCGGTTGTACGCCAGGGTTGATGTGTGTTTACTGTTTGTACCGCAGTTGCGCCTATAGGCCTCCGTTGTGCTAGGTACGGTGCAAGCACATGGGCCAGACCTGTGCGAGGAGTGCTTTGCTGGTCTGCTACAGCAGCAAAGGGCTCCCAGGGCGGGCAAAACTGCACTTCTGGTGATGTGGCTTATTAGCGTCATCGAGTTTAAGGCTAGAAGGCATTACCCGATTATCCAGTCTGACCTCCTGCGTATCGCAGGCCCCCAGCACCCGCACACGAAACCCAACAGCCGAACTTCGACCAAAGTGCTACAGCCTGTGGGAGACTTGATATATGCTGCAGGCAGAGCAGCAGAGGAACTGAGGTGCACCAGTGTCCGAGGCCCCTGCAGTGGCAGGGAAATGGTTGAGAGACACCCAGATATGACACCTACACCCACCTGCTGTAGAGGAAGGCGAAAGACCCATAAGGGACCTGGGGGAGGAGTCCTTCTCGACCACATGTGTGGCTAGAGCCTGAGCACGTGAGCAAGAAGCAGCCAGCTGAGCACCTGAGAGAGAAAACGTTCAGTGCCCCCTCAGGGCCCTGGCCTGGCCTCCTTATTCCAGGACCCCTCTCCCAGCAGCAAAATAAGGTAGGCCTGCAAAAATAGAGCTTTGCTGGTGAGACGGTGTCTACACTAGGGCCTTTTGCTGTCATAGCTGCATTGGTCAGGGATTACCCCTGCCCAGCATAGCTATGCCAGCAACACTATGCAGTATAGCCTTGGCCTGAGCCAGAGACTGTCCCTACCCCCAAGAGCTTACAGATAAATAGGCTTGATGGGAAGGTGTGGGGAACAACAACATAGAGAGCTGAAATGCTGTGCCGAGGTCACACAGCAGAGCCAGAAATCGAATGCCGGAGTCCTGCCCACCTGTCGGTGTGTGAAACACAGCTCAGTTTCTTGGAGCCTTCTGCTAGTGCCGACTCCTTTGGAAGGAGCCAGCACACTACCCAGTAACATTGACGTCTGGTGAGAGGGCCTTAAAGTCAGTCTCCTATCACTGGAATCCCTGCTGCAGAGGCTGGCCAGACTCATTTCACTTGTGACTGTGCTCTGCTGCAGCCACTAGGGAGCCTGCAATAGACTTATTTTACCAGGGGCTTGGCGTGGGCCAGAGGAGTGAGAGGGACGATGCCCCTGTACAGCGGGTGGGGGGAGAGTCGAGCCTCCCCCCCCCCAATCCCCATGGTGCTCGGTTCAGCGTTATACAGTGTCTGTTTTTAGAAACAGTGGCAGATTCGCAAGCTGAGCCGAGTTTCCAAAGGGACCTATAAAACAAACAGCCTGCCATCTGCTCTATTGTCCTGGACTAGCAGCTGGGGCTGGGGGAGAGGGAGCCCGAGCAAGGGGAATGGAGGGAATGAGAAAAATGAAGGAGATAGTGAAAGCAAACGGGGTGGGGTGGCGCAGAGGAAAAATGGGATAAGAGAGAGCGAGAAAGCGGATGAGAGCATA